GCGCGATTCGAGACGGAGTGAAACACGGACAAATGCGTTTCATTCATTCGTTCATAACCACTCATACCACTCATACAGTTTTGCGTAGGGCCCCCAGAAGTCTAGGATCGCCAATGCGCACAAAGGCACCGGCGCGCGCTGTAGCCTGTATCCTTTCATATCAAAGCACGAAATAATCAAAGGACAAAGAAAAAAAATTACTTTTATAGCTTTAAGGATTCATCTATATTTAATTTAGAATTTAGTGTTTGATAACTTCAATTTCTGTATATTTCTGCTGAAGGGCACAGGTAAATATGACATTTATTATAATGGGTTTATGTGAAGATTGTTTTAAGTTCACTTAAATTAGAAGTAAATTTTTAAAGTCTAATAAATGTTAAAATTGATAGCTCTTAATTATACTGTAATGTTGAATGGCTATAGTCAATGGTTAAATATTAGGGGCGGGGGCATTTTATAGAGAAATCAGTATTGGTATCATTGATACTGGTCTTCAGTCATAAAAAAGATGCCATTAAACAAATATTAAAAAATATACTGTCTTTATGTTGTTTGTACATTAATTTGAAGATTGAATGTGAAATTATTGCAATATAAAAGTATATTTAAAAACTTTAATGTTAGGTGGGATTAATCGCAATTAATTTCAGAAAAATGTGCGATTAATTAGTAAAAAAGAAATTTAATCGACTGACAGCATATATATATAAAATCCTTATTGCTGCACCCTGAATACAGACACCAATTGTGAACTTGAGCAAGGAATTGTACTGCCATTCTGAGTGGAAACGCTCCCAACCAATGTGGACAAAATCCAGATGTCTATGGCACGGTGCATCACTCAATCCATCATTGAACTGAAAATACCCAACAGTGTCATGATAACACTCCAGTGAACACCACTGCAGAGGATAATAAATATTCATTCATTCACTCTGTTGAATGGGCTTAATGCTGTGCTTACAGTCCCTGCGGCGGACCCAAGTATTCTCCTCCATCTAAGTGGCATGCAATTGTAATACTTTTTATCACATTCAAGGGAGTCGAGAAACAACTGTACGGCATTCAGGACCATTAACCACTCGAGGAGCCGAGATAACATTTGCGTTAACAGGTGTTAGCGCGCCTCTAGTGAAATGGCTCAACGGCTTCGGTAATTCAAATAAGTGGAACGCGCAACTGCAATTTGTTGCAGGCAGTCAAATTTCACATAAAGCTTTCATGCCATGGGCAGACCAACAATTTATCCCTTGGCAGGAGGGGCTGAGAAACGAAGGATAAAATCAATAATGAAACAGTGTAATTTTCTCAATATGTTCAAGCATGTCACGATTGAACTGTAAATCACCCTTAACATTGTTTCCTGTTGGGGTCGGCCACACGTGCTGTCAGTCTACGATTGACCTTACAGTTGAATATTCAGACTCATTCCCATGAGACTAAGCCCACACAGAGCTCCCTGATTTTTTTCTCATTCCAGCTGCTGCCGGGTCACTCCCGAAGACTCGTCTCGCTGATGGGTCGGTCACACAAACACATACACGCAACATGGATCCAGCCCACACAGGCGGCGACCTGCTTCGGTTTACTCACCCTTTTGCCCTCTTTCCCTGGTGCTCCTGGTTGACCGGGCAGGCCAGCGTCTCCCTGGGGATGATGGGTAAAAGTTCAGGGTTTCAGTTTTCAGAAAGTATTGCAGCACATAAAGCAGGCTGGTCCGGATCTAGGTTTCCACCTGCCCATGGTCATTAATGCCCCCAAAAACATGATTACATCCAGAAGCAACATTAATGTTAAATATGAGGACATAGCAGCTGGCTCTGCCTGGACGGGTTTACATGCTGGCCCGGCACTTACTAAAGTGCTGAGAGACAGATGTTCAAACAGCATGTTGCAGCTCATGGGTAAACTTCATTATGGAAGACAAAAAAATAAAATGATTAAATTCAAGAAAATGTTAATATGCTTACCTTTTCTCCGGGAATTCCTGAGGGACCCTGCACACACACAAACACAAAAGAAATACAGATTCTCAGAATATTTTAAATCACCCAAATTTGTCTCAGTTTAAGTAACATTTTCAGGCTAAGCTTTATTATCCGCACTGTTGTTCAAAAGTTTGAGATTCGTAAGATTTTTTAAATGTTTTTGAAAGAAGTCTTATGCTCAGAGACTGCATTTGTTTTTTTAAAAATACAGTAAAAGCGGTAACATTGTGAAATATTATTACAATTTAAAAGAACTATTTTCTGTTTTAATATATTTTAAAAATGTAATTTATTCCTGTGATGCAAAGCTGAATTTTCAGGCAGTCATTTACGCCAGCCTGCAGTGTCACATGATCCTTCTAATATCCTGATTTGGTACTCAAGAAACATTTCTTATTAATGCTGAAAACATTTTTTTTTGTTCAAAAGCATTTTTATATGAAATATACATCTTTTGTAAGATTATAAACGCCTTCACTGTCACTTTTGATCAACTTAGTGCATCCTTGTTGAATAATTTCTTAAAGAATAATTCTGTGAAGAAATGCATAACACAATATTGTATTTTTAGAAATAGATAGGAGAGACCAATCACAATTTTGAATGTAACCGTTACAATGATGCCATCATTTTTGATAACATTTTGCCTGCTGAACATTCTAACAATTAAAATAGCTTAGCTGAAATCAGCTACAGAAGATTTTGAGTCTGTGCGTTAAGGAGTTGTAGTTGAAATAGCAACAGAAATTTCTGAAGGAGCACCATCAGATCTTTTTAGCTGTGTTTAATTAAAAACACACTGAATAAAGGCAACAGGCTTCCGCTATGAATCATCAAAATTCCAGGAAAATTAAGGAAAAGGTGGATTTCAGTAGTTAGTGCTGCCTTACAAGCACTTAAATAAAATTCTCAAGAAAAATCTTTTTTACCTGGTCCCCTTTTTGAGCTTGCTGTTCAACCTAGGAGAAAACAGAGGACAAATTATCATGTGTTTCATCAAAGAAAGACAGCAATTAACTTCAGCTGTTAACACTGTTAGAACAAAGGTCAGGAAAACATATTACAGCACATGACCCACTGAAAGGACAAAACGCATGACCAGTCACATATACACAAGACACACACAGACAGACTTTCAGATGCAGAGTAAAACAGTGTGGTGTCATCTTTCAGCTGGCATCCTCAAAAATACTGACACATCTTAGGAACAGCTGCGAAAATAGCCATTCACTCCTTGTGTTCGGTGAAAGTCGGAGAGCAAGAGCTTTAAAGGCTGCCAAAACAGTCAAAATGTAACTGGGGAGAGACGGCCTGTGATGTTAGAGGTCGTAAATACGAGCGACAGATGTCTACAACACCAACATCCATAACAGGATATTAAAAACCCGAAACGTAAAATCAAATGTTCAACATGTCAGCTATATGCTATTTGTTTAAACATCAAGAATTTCAGCTGCTAAAGCTTGTTAAATGTTTTAGTCTTGAATGATTTACAACTTGACTACAAGAGGGAGTGGTGATATGGCAAGTGTGTTGTCGGCTCTCACGTTTGAATCCCTGGTATTCCTGCTTGTCCTCATAAAATGTAAAATTAGCATGAGTAAATAACTGTTACACCCTGATATAGTTCCGCTGGGGTTAGTTTAATGTTTATGTTACATAAAGGGGCAGAGCTTTATTACTATATCCTCTCACACAAAGAGCATACATCCCATTCTGGTGTCTTATGAGATGTTGTGGACGTGTCCCTCATTTAATGTGTGGAATTATTAGCTCTCTACTTTGCAGGACACGTCTAACCTCCACAGTCTGTTGGTTGCCCCTGACTGAGCATGTGTGGGCTCTTCTTTGATTTAAATTTATTTTCTTTAGTTGAAGATAAAGAGAGTGAATGCAGTATTTTTAGTATTAAAATCGACATGAAACATCACAACACATTTTACAACACTGCATAAAAGTTTGTTTTTGAAAGAAGTCTCAACAAGACTGCATTTATTCAGACAAAATACAGTAAAAAAATATTGTGAAATATTACTACAATTTCCAATTTAAAATGTAATTTATTCCTGTGATGCCAAGCTAGATTTTCAGCAGTCTTCAGTGTCACGTGATTTTGCAGAAATCATTCTAATATGATGATTTGGTGATCAAGAAACATGTCATATTATCAGTGTTGAAAACTGTTGTGCTGCTTAATATTTTTTTGGTGGAAACTGTGATACATTCTTTGATGAATAGAAAGCTCAAAAGAAAACTATTTATTTGAAATAGAATTTTTGGTAACATTATAAATGCCTTTACTTTTGATCAACAATACATCCTTGCTGAAAGTATTAATTGCTTTTAAAAAAAAATGTCAGAGCAACCTGTTTCAGAGAAAATCATCAAGTTCAAAAATAAAAAATATTGTAATATTATTTGCTTCATCAGGAATTGGCTGGATCATTGAAAGCGGCCATCCTTGAATGGAGCTGAAGGTGAGGTTAATAAAATGAATTCTCTCTCAGCTTTGAAATTCTGTTTACCTGTTTTTCCTATTGTATAAAGATTGTACGCATCATTACACACCATTGGAGCACCTGTCTCACATCTGTGTCAGTTATTGGTCATGTTAACCATTTCCTAAAACCTTAGCAATGACTCTCCATAAATCTCATTTCAGTGCTTAATGCATATGATTAATAATGCAGATCATGTTTCATTTAAAAAGAGTCAGTTTCTACATTGAGCTCTGAAATAACATGCAGTGAGATACGTACCGAGAGTGTTCCCGGACCTGGCAGGCCTGGTTCCCCCTGCAACAGAGACAAGAAATTGAGAGGAGTGATTACTGTACAAATAAAAGCAAGTCATCTAAACCGCAGCATTCTGTTCCTCCAGTTAACAAGTCATTGTCGCATTATAAATCAGGACCCAGGACCATGAAGGTCCATCTATATAGCCTATTTAGCATATCGACCAGCTTAACTGTACAATATCCCACTTATTACACAGTTTAGTGGCGATTACACAAAAATATCTGACCACAGAATTCTGTGACTGCCCAATCAGAATCAAATATTTCAGAGAGTTGTGCAATACCGCGAAATTATGCAAATGCAAATGTAAATAATTCACTTACAATGATCTGTACTATGGCGTTCTACTAATATTTCCACATAATTTGGGAATAGTTCACCCAAAAGTGAAAATATTGTTCCACATTTTAACTGGAAAAAAAAAAAAAAAACACCCCTCCTGTGTTCCTTAGAAGAAAGAAAGTCATACACGTTTGGAATGACAAGAGGGTGAGTAAAAGATGACAAAACTTTCATTTTCAGGAAAACTATTCCTTTAAGAACAATTCTGAGGCATACCTGAGAAAAATAAATAAATCGACCAGGCTGTCCCTATATCTGTGCTTATCTGCTCTTAAATGAAGGACTTTTATATATTCAAGGTTATGAAATACAAGCAGAGATATCAGTTTAATTCAAAAGCCCTTGACAAAAACAGGCAGAGCCTTCCTCAAATTCAATTTAAATCCACAGAAACTCCACATCAAAGTTGGCAGAAATATAAAGTTGTGAACACCTAAAGCTGGCCCGTTTGAAGATATTCAGAGTCATTCTATGTTTGAAGAGCATGACGTGTCTTTCCGACTGTCAGTTTCAATCCAAACTAACTGTTTTCCTCCGTCCCTCTGGTCTGACTGGGTGATGAGATGAAAAGAAGCTGGTTATTCTCTGCTCTAACGCAGAGGAGCTCATTAGAACATCAAGGCTTGAAAACACTGCATTGACAATTACGTGAGCATGCAGGCAAACAAAGAACCCCAATACTGTAAAAGACAATGGGTAATATGGCAGCTAATTAGAGAATAACATTTGATCTATTGTTTGAAAGGCAGTCCCGCTGTGGTCTGTGTGCGTGAACGCGTGTGTCTGTGTGCACGGGGTGTTGGGGAATCAGATATCAGAGTAGGAAGCTCTTTCTACATTCTGTTTCATTGAAGTCACATCTTCCCTGCTGTGAAGGTCTGTCTGGATGAGCTGGAAATTCTGGAAGGCATTTTAAAGGAAAGTTCTAGATGAAAGGCGATTTGTGTTCTACTAGCCACATCTGTGACATGCCGTCTGTTAACACAGAAAATAATGTGTTTGTGAAAACAAACAAAAATTGTGTTTATAGTATAGTGATGCACTTAAAAGCACTGCACTGGAACTTGAAGCAAACACTGCAAAAAAACACAAACAAATTTAAAAATCCTAATAAGTATTTGTGTACTGTCTTCCATTGAAAACATCCTTTACAAACTTTAAAAACACACATTATATTTACTCATTTAAAATTATTTAGTAAAATAATTTATTTTAAATGTAAAATAATGTTATTTAATTAAATTTAATGTTTATTTTACCAGACTGGCTAAATGTTTTTGTCTTGTTTTATACATAAATATTTTAGGGAGATTTATGAAGACATGTTCTCTGAGAACATTACAATTAATTGTAATTACAATATATGTCTTACAAAAATATCTTCTACAATCATGCAAGGTCAAAAAATGCTTTCATTTTCTCAAAATATGCATTTAATATAGTGCTGTCAAATGATGAATCACATCCAAAATAAAAGCTTTTGTTTACATAATATATGCAGAAACTCCACATCAAAGTTGGCAGAAATATAAAGTTGTGAACACCTAAAGCTGGCCCGTTTGAAGATATTCAGAGTCATTCTATGTTTGAAGAGCATGACGTGTCTTTCCGACTGTCAGTTTCAATCCAAACTAACTGTTTTCCTCCGTCCCTCTGGTCTGACTGGGTGATGAGATGAAAAGAAGCTGGTTATTCTCTGCTCTAACGCAGAGGAGCTCATTAGAACATCAAGGCTTGAAAACACTGCATTGACAATTACGTGAGCATGCAGGCAAACAAAGAACCCCAATACTGTAAAAGACAATGGGTAATATGGCAGCTAATTAGAGAATAACATTTGATCTATTGTTTGAAAGGCAGTCCCGCTGTGGTCTGTGTGCGTGAACGCGTGTGTCTGTGTGCACGGGGTGTTGGGGAATCAGATATCAGAGTAGGAAGCTCTTTCTACATTCTGTTTCATTGAAGTCACATCTTCCCTGCTGTGAAGGTCTGTCTGGATGAGCTGGAAATTCTGGAAGGCATTTTAAAGGAAAGTTCTAGATGAAAGGCGATTTGTGTTCTACTAGCCACATCTGTGACATGCCGTCTGTTAACACAGAAAATAATGTGTTTGTGAAAACAAACAAAAATTGTGTTTATAGTATAGTGATGCACTTAAAAGCACTGCACTGGAACTTGAAGCAAACACTGCAAAAAAACACAAACAAATTTAAAAATCCTAATAAGTATTTGTGTACTGTCTTCCATTGAAAACATCCTTTACAAACTTTAAAAACACACATTATATTTACTCATTTAAAATTATTTAGTAAAATAATTTATTTTAAATGTAAAATAATGTTATTTAATTAAATTTAATGTTTATTTTACCAGACTGGCTAAATGTTTTTGTCTTGTTTTATACATAAATATTTTAGGGAGATTTATGAAGACATGTTCTCTGAGAACATTACAATTAATTGTAATTACAATATATGTCTTACAAAAATATCTTCTACAATCATGCAAGGTCAAAAAATGCTTTCATTTTCTCAAAATATGCATTTAATATAGTGCTGTCAAATGATGAATCACATCCAAAATAAAAGCTTTTGTTTACATAATATATGTATGTGTACTGTGTATATTTATTATGTATATAAATACACACAGTATATATTTTGAAAATATTTACATGTATATACATTTATATATTTATATTCTTATATTTTATATTATATAAAAATATTTTTATTATAAAAACATATTTTTCTTAAATATATACATGCATGTGTTTGTATTTATATATACATAATAAATATACACAGTATACACACAGATATCATGTAAACAACAACTTTTATTTTGGATGCAATTAATCGCGATTAATCGTTTGACAGCACTAATTTAATATCATCTCATTTTCCAACTAACCTCAAATGATTTGTTCGAAGCAGTTCTAAGATTCAGTCTCTCTAAACCCCTCCTTTCTGTGACCCTAATTTGCTCTGATTGGTCAGATTGCCAAGTCTGTTATGATTGGTCAACCGCGTACAGGGCGTGTCGGAAACAATACGCCCATTTCCATAGTTCTGTATTTTAATCGCTCGATAGAAAATATAAGCATCTATTATTTATCAAAGCTACAGTGTTTGAGGACGGGTCAAGTTGTTTGCGGCTGGCCAACATAGAACATAGGCGGGGATTATGCAAATGTATTATTTGGGATTCAAATTACTGACGACTCGTTCAGGCTGTTCAGAGTAGATTCTTTCTTTTGGAAGACAACTTTATTCATCACGCACTTTTCGGCTTTACAACTTTGCCGATCGTTTACATTCACATACAGCTACATTAAACACTGCACGAAAGGCAATATTCGAAATGGCATAATAGGGGCACTTTAATAAGAACTGACATAAATATTTCTCTTCTAAAATTAAAATATATCATTTCAATATGCAAGTAAAAATACTTTTTTCATGTGTTTTATGCAGCTTCTGATAAAATGCAAAATTCATGTTCATCCCTCATTTTCTGTTCAACCCTATTATGCAGACATTTCCTCCTTTAATATTAACCGTTTGACCTTCTGACTTCATATTTAAATTCTAACAAATAACTACTGATATTTTGCAAGGCTGTCAACCACATATTTATGAGTGGATGGGTTGCAGTATCTGTCACTGAGAAACCAATATCCGCTGACCGCTAATCTGAATATTGGTCTGGAGGCATCTCTGGTAGTAATGGCCCTGAGGTGGGAAAATATGAGTTCTAGAAAGTTTAGCAGTGACATTTTCAAACTTTTAAATGTTAGAATGATAATAAAAAAAAAAAAAACTTGAAAATGTTCAGCCACAAATGGCAGTTTCTCCTAAGAATGACTCACATATAGACCTCTGTGGCTTTCTATGTACAGGTATATACAATTTTCTGGAAGGCTCACTGTCTGAAAAACATAGAGACTCTGCCTCTATCTCTCTCTGTGCTACAGTTTGTGAAGGTTGGTACAAGAAATCAAACTTGCAGGGTGACTTACTTTATCACCTTTGAGACCAGGTAGGCCTTGAGGTCCAGGATCTCCTTTCAAACCCTGAGGAGACACAAAGAACAGGAACCAGTTTAATCACAGAGTTGGACTCCTCACAGCATCCTGACAGAACAACTTAGGCGAAAATCTTTCCAGTCAGCAGACAATGTATCAGTTTGATGTCCCCCAAGTTAGGAATTCAGCAGGGAGCCGCTCCAGCCATCTTTTAGTAAAAGTCATGTCGGTGAAGCGCAGCGGCTTATCTCACTGATGGCAAGAATAAGTGTCTCAAGGTGTTGAGATGGCCTCATTTAAATGACAAATCGGTTTTCTCACTTCTGTGCTTTTTAGAGAATGATTTGCACAAATAGCACACCCTAAATACATACACAAAACCACACACTCTCTTTCTCAAGCCTTCCGGCTGGAGCCGTGATTAGAATCCAATCACCTGCCTGCCAGGGCTTTGTGAGAGGGAATCTGATTGGAGATAAGGCAAAACCACAGGCAACGTCAAAACTCCTAGTGCTGAAAAGCAAAAGAGAGAGGACAGGTGGGGGGGAAAAAAAGAATAGAAGAAGGTGAATGAGGGAAAACCGGACGAGAAGAGGTGGCTGATAAATGAGGCCTGACGCGTATCGACAGGCTAAATTTACAGCGGCTCTTGTTAGGTGTGACACATCAAGACCGGCAGCTACACAGAGAGAAATGTCTGAAATAAGTCAGAGGGTACTTAGAGAGACGGGAACGCTGGCCCTCAAAATACAGCAATTTGTCTTAGTTAAGCTTTCAAGTGAGACTATTAATACTGAATTATATTAGGGCCAGATGAGCGCCTCGCCCTTTTTTTAATCATGTTTCCAAGCTCACGGATAGAGATGTGACTAATTTACTCTTATGATGGCGGAGCTTGTCAAGACAGTTGAGTGAAAGCTCAGTTAAGAGAGCACTAGTCTGGAGACCTTCTCCATAAAACAAGATCAATACAAATAAGATGTGTAAATCTGGCAAACCTCCTTTTGTATCAGCTGTCTTACTTTGAGACTCTTTCTGTGAGAATGATGATTGTGAGGGTTTACAATAAGATTTGAATATTCTATTTGAATCAAATTTTACTTCTCATTCTCTTGCACATTCTCTTGAAAAATAGCCAATGAAATTGCAAGAGAGCACTGTTTGCTTACTAATTGGGACCATGTACACACCTGCCGATTGGTCAGGCAGATTTCAATGAAAATCAAATCAAATAAAAAATACAAATAAAAACATAAATATAATAAATAAAACAAATACAAATAAAAACAAAAATATAATAAATAAATATAAATAATAAAATAATAATAATAATACAAAATATGGAAAATAAAAGATACACACACACATATATAAATCCTCCTCTCTGCTACATTGTTTTCAATAAAGGTAAAAACACTAACTTTTTAAAATAAAATAAGAATAAAAAATAAATAAAATCTTTTAACAAATTGCAATACATAATTTTAAATATAATTAAAATAAGATACATAAAGTACAAATTAAAATTAAAAATGCAAAATAGCTATTTTTAAGATAACTTGCCTCCACTCACATGCAACTCTTAAAGGGGACAACGGATGAAATTTTCCCTTTTTTTTAGTGGACTTTGAGCTTTGTAACTTTGCAGATCTTTTTTATGCTCAAACAGCAACATTACAGACTAACTAAAGCTGAAAAAGTGAAAAAGCATAATAGCACCCCTTTAAGTGTCCAAAAGTGTGCAAATCTGGCTAATGTCAGACATAAACACTCACCAACATAATAGACATCCTACAACACTTCAAATAAACATTTCATGTGCAGCAACAGACTTCCACATAGTGTTGTTTTTGGCGGCCTGCCATCTTGGCAGTGCGTCACCGCGCGTCACTCCCGGATAATCGAGAATGGGCAAAGAGGCGGGAGCTGGCTGCTGAAGCCACGCCCACCTAGCTCGCCGGTGGTGACAGCAGCGGCAATCCACCTGTCACTCAAGTGGCCACGCCCTTAATTATGCAGAACCTTAAGGCTTAATATAATTTTTAACGTATGAGTTATACTCGTTGACGACGATATTTAGTCATAATTTTCGTTGACGAAAACAACACTACTTCCACAGCATCTTTTCAGCTTTTGATAGAGATACAATTTTAATTCAAATGAACACAGCCCATCTCAGAGGCATGCATGTTTTAAGCAGAGAGAACTGTTGATATGCTGAATGGCAGGCCTTCAAAGACCTCTGGAACAAGATCCAGTGGAGTAACAGAGATATCTCAAGCGCTGGCCACAAATGCCAAGGGGGTTACGCCAGGAAATGCTTTTTGTGAGTTTCCATTTGCTCAGCGATTCATTGCTGCAAACGTTTGAAGTAGTAGAGCTCAGGATGATACTATCTGAATCAAACTTTCACTTAGGAAAACATGCTGGGCTTCTTCACCACTGCCACTGGAATCTGTCTATCATAAAAATTACTGAACTCTACATGTCAAATAAACATTTTTAAGTACGTCATATGAAAAATGCTTTTTTTTCTGCAATCAAGTATCGAAAAACAAATTTGCTTCTTTTCATAGCACAGGACATCTAAATTAACGCTACACGTAACCTGTCATATTCTGAAGGATAGTGTAACTAACATGCCATGTTATGCTCTGAGCGTCTCAACAGACAAGCGATACACGGCTTCATGCACATTCCATTCTGAACGCTCTCATGTAACCCCTGTGGGCCTCAGATATCAGGTACTGACTTTAAAAGACTTAAATTAGTCAGCCATTAGAATGTATTGACTCAGGGTGGTGACTCTGAATAATGCCATATGTCTTAAGGTACAGTAGATTAATCAAATTTCTTACATCTTTCCCAGGTGTTCCCGCAGGAACGGGCTCTCCAGCTGCTGCCTTTTCACCCTTATAATCAGAGTAATGATACACAGCATCAGAACACACACTGAAACTACTGTCTGAATGGAGTGTGATGAGACACAAAGACTGGGTGCCACAAAATACTACCAAGACAATAAACAGACAATTTATGAGATTAATAGAAGAATCAGATCAATATTTTATGTGCAGTGCCTTCACCACTTGCAGACAACAACAAACATTCTGCAAAACTAGTGTAGTTTGATTCACAAACGGATGATTCATATGAGCTGGTTCTTTTAGTCGAAAAGAACTTGGGAGTTATTGGACTGCATTGGTCAAAAAGACTCTTGAATCAGTTTGAATCATTTAAATGACTCAAATAACTCATATCAGGATGGATCTTGACTTGAATTGAATCTTGAAAAGTGTGAAAAGATAATAAGTATAAAAGATATAAAAATAAACTGACTAGTATTATGAGGATAAGTAAGAAAGAGTATTATAATAAAATATAAAATGATAATAGAAATGATATGAAGGGAATATGGAATGTGTTAAATATTGTCTTCACTTGTAAGTTGCTTTGGATGAAAGCATCATCTAACTGACTAAATGTAATGTAAATGTAAATCGAAAATATAAACAATAGAATCTTATTCAAAATTAAGTTTTCCTCCATCTGAAAATGGTGTGCACATAATAGTAATAATGCCATCATATTGAAAATGTAATTTAAAAATGACTTAATTAGGTTAATGAGTTGAATGTACAATAATGTTTAAAAGTTGAGGGTCAGTAAGATTATTATTATTATTATTATTAATTAAAAAAAAAGAAATGAACAGTTACCCAGCAAGGATGCATTCAATTGATCAAAAGTGACAGTAAAAAAAAAAGTTTCAAAGATTTCTATTTCAAATAAATGCTGTTATTTTGAACATTCTATTCATCCAACAATCCTGAAAAAAAGATACCATGGTTTCCACAAAAAATATTAAGCAACACAACTGTTCATTAATAAAAATATAAATAAATGTTTATTGAGCACTAAATCATATTTAGTAGAGAGTAAATGTCTCTACTCTCTCAGTTCTCTAAAATATTGGAAAAATTGTACGTTAATAGACTGGAAAATTTTATGGAAAAGCATGAATTGTTAGTTGATAGTCAGTATGGATTTAGGTCGAACAGATCCACATCCATGGCATTAATGGAGTTAATTGAAAATATTACTAGTACTATAGATAATAAGAACTATGCAGTGGGAGTATTTATAGATTTGAAAAAAGCTTTTGATACAATTGATCACCGTTTATTAATCACTAAATTGGAAAATTATAGTATCAGAGGGGTTGTACTTGATTGGATGAAAAGTTACATAAGTAACAGACTTCAATTCGTACAAATTGGGGAACATAGATCAGAGTGTTTAGATATCACATGTGGAGTCCCACAGGGGTCGATTTTGGGTCCAAATTGATTTATATTGTTATTTATATTGTATTATATTGAGGGTGACAAATCTCTTAAAATTTGTGATTTTTGCTGATGATACTAATATTTTCTGTGCTGGGGAAAATCTGCAGCAGCTTTTGGAGGTGGTCACAGCAGAAATGAATAAGATAAAAATGTGGTTTGACTTGAATAAATTATCGATAAATTTAGATAAAACTAAATTTATGCTGTTTGGAAACCGCAAAACTGATACACAAGTAAAAGTAATGATTAATAATGTTGAAATAGAAAGAGTATATGAAAATAAATTTCTAGGGGTGATTCTTGATTACAAAATCTGTTGGAAACCCCACATTAAACATGTGAGAGCAAAAGTAGCACGGAGTATTGGAGTAATTGCGAAAGCAAGGCATGTATTGAATGAGAAAGCACTTTATATTCTGTATAGTTCACTTGTATTGCCATATTTAAATTATTGTGTTGAAGTATGGGGCAACACCTACAAAACCACCCTACAAACGCTAAGTACAATACAAAAAAGAGCAATTAGGATAGTAAATAAAGTAGGATATTATGAGCATACCAATTTATTGTTTTTAAAATCTCATACTTTAAAGTTTAATGATCTGGTAGAATTTAAAACTGCACAAATAGTTTATAAAGCAAAAAATAAACAGCTGCCTAGAAATATACAACAATTATTCACAGATAGACAGGGGTGTT